GGGGAAATACTTTTTTTTTGTTAGGCGAGGGGGGATCTGGGACCCTTTTTTCCACTCCCAGACCCGTGTGCATTATTTATGAGAGGCAGAAACCATTATAACATACTCTGCTTTATCTTCCGCGCTCCCTAAAGCGTGAGTCCGCTGGAGTATCGATCCAGGGGACGGGGGATTTCAACACAGCCTTACGAATCGCAGAAATACCCCAAAAAAAAGGTCCTGCATCCCTGCGCACCTTGATGTCTGCAGCGCCTCTGAGCGGCTGCAAGCATTGCTGCTCTTTGTATGTGTAGGCAGCTGCTTTAGACAGAAGCACAACATATATAAAGAACTGCCTCCATTAGCCTTATTCTCATCTCTAAATAACAATCTGTTACTTTACATAGAGAGTTAATTCGTACACGGTAACCTGAGCATTAATGGGCAGTTTTTTAAATAGAAGAGTTGATTGTTTGAAATATGAGGATTATTACTTAGTAACATTGTTAATTATATAATCTATTTAGCACCAACATATGGTACCTTACTGCACATTACTCCTGTGCTTTGCAGTATTATTCTGTGTGCCCCATTGCTGGTACCAGTACTAATGTATGTTGGCAGTATTTATTTCCCATGGCGAGTATTACTGTAGTATATCAGTACTGATATCATGTGCTGGTACCCAACAGGCCTATACTCTGCAATTTTGTTAGTATTTATGCTCTGCTGAAGTTACAAATACTTATTAGTACTGTGTAATACTCTGAGGGCGTCAATACTCATTTGTGGTATTGTCAGTATTAATACTGCATTTAGAATACCAATTACTGCCATGACAATGGATGTTGCTGGTAAAAAGGCTCTTTGCCGTATTGCATTAGTTAATGCAAACCAGTGACGCCGTAATAGTGACGCAATGTCAGAATGCAGCATCATTACATCACCAATTCGAAGTAAATGCCTGGGATAGCAGAGTAACCTCTGGAAATAGTCATCTAACCTAATGGTAATGATATTGACTATAATTCCTACAACCCCTAGCCAGCTAGATAATCGTAGTTGTTACATTTTCACTGATGGTGTACCCTAGAACCTCTGCCAACAGCTCTAATACATACTTCTATTTTGTTGGGCTTCACGTGTCTGAGAATGATGGAGGTTACAGTCCCAAGCAGCACGCAAAACGCTAGCAGTTGTGGACTGTTCACACAGATGTTTATGACTAACTATCCTGAGAGCCAAAGTTTAAAATAACTGTCACTCCCTAGGTTACCCTGCCAGGGTTATTCAAAGTGTGAATTTTCATGAATTCAATGTGAATTTCAAATCTGCATTTCTAACAATTCACACTTCAGTGAATAACCATAGGTACATTGTAGCTGGAGATACAGAGCCTTCACATTTCTTTCATGGTAGTTTTGGGCCCTCTGCTACTTTATTATGTTGTCCAGGGTCCAGCTGACTGGCCTCCAATGTTCCCCAGTAGCCACGTAATACCATAGTATCCCAGGAATCATTGTGACTTTGATCGCGCAGGTTGAGGTCACAGTATATTTGAGCTGCGTATTTTCTTCTCCAGTTAAATCCATTTGAGAGAATATTGTTGATCTCAAGCTCCAGTTCCGAGCGGCTGAAAGAGGTCTCTTTTTTCTTTATCCTGTCTCCATGTCGTCACAGCAAGTGATCAAGGACAGAACACACACCTGTACTCTTGGGAGGCCGATATAAAGGCTTATATCTAGATCAACTCCTTAAGGCATTCTGTCCACATCTGCGTCATTAAAGGGTTACAACAATGCTTTGTAATCAATTCATTTTTTTAATTTAAAATATCTTGTTGGACATTAGTAATCACTCCCCCGCTTATAAATAAGAAAAGCCTGAAAAATAAGAATAAACTTTCCTAGAATCCATCTCTGGGTGAAGCCCCTGACACTAGTTCACACACCGCGTCCGACGTCACTACCTTCTTTGCGAAGGTGCGGACTTTGTCAAAAGTGTCATATTTACGAATGTGAAGTGTTTCAAGCAGACACGCTGCACATGCTGCTTCCTACCAACATGACAACTTCAAAAATCTGTAGTGATCATTGTGGTTGGAATAACCCATTAAATCCAGTTAACCCCATTATTTTTTGGCTCTGCAAACCATCTTGAGTCATCTCTCCCATCTCTTCACCTTACTAATCAACTGCTTTTTTCACTCAGTATCCCCCTAAACCAGCAAGATTGAAGGGCTGCAAGATTTTATACTCACTCAATCTTTAACCTGTTAACTCTTGATTAAATAAATTTTTTTAAAAAGTATTAAAATGTGTAGACAGTTTTACATCTGAAATAATCACATTAATGAACTTTTTTTCAGTTTGGTTTATTCAGACATTTTTAAAAAAAATGCCAGGATTGTAATCTCTGGCCAATATCATAAGATTCCATGCTTTGAATTGACTTGAATTTGTAGTTATGTGTATAGACGGAGGCCATTGCTAGGGGGGAGGGCCCATATAAATGAAATAAAATGTAAGATTTAAAGGAACACTATAGGCACCAAAACAACTTTAGCCTAATGTAGCAATGTTGGTGTATAGATCATGTCCCTGCAATCTGACTGCTCAATTCACTGCCATTTAGACACTTTTGTTTCTGTTAATGTAAACCTAGCCACTCCTCCCCTGGATGACACTCACACAGCATGCATGAAAAAAAAAGGTTTAATCTTCGATAAGATGTTTTTATCTCCTGCTCTGTAAATTGAATTTTAATCACACACTGGCTCATGCAGGCTCTAGAAGGTTATTAACAGAACAGGAGATAAAAAAATTACATTAAACAGACTGTGCAATAAAGGAAGTGTAAATATTAGACGACTCTTTACAGGAAATGTTTAGGAAGGCTTGTGCAACTCACATGCAGGGAGGTGTGACTAGGGCTGTATAAACAAAGTGATTAAACTCCTAAATAGCAGAAAATTAAGTAGTGCGATTGCAGGGGCATGATCTATACACCAAAAATACTTCATTAACCTAAAGTTGTTTTGGTGCCTATAGTTTACCTTTTAATAAAACATGAAATTATAAGTAAATAAACCCACATTTTTTCCCAAAATGCTAAGCAGAATATGCAAATAGGAAGTTCAGATTTCTAACCCACATTTTTACAGACATTTTCTGTGGCTCTCAATAATCCTAAAGGTCTCCAGGTACTGTTCAATGTAGCATCGGTTTATATAAAGTAAATACATAGGAACACAGTGATCTCAGCCGAGAACATTAGTCATGCATTGCTTATCACCTGCCCTTTACGAGCGGAGTCAGTGCATTTGGCGATTACAAATAATATATATCAGAGAGTAAGTGAGTACTCTGTAGCATTAAGTGAAAGACCTATAGAAATTGTAATAGGAGTGAATGACAGCGGGATAGAGAGTGAGCCTGTACCCAAATTTGTGGTATTTCTGTGTTTTCTGATACTGGGAGGAATCTCATTAAGAACTTTACCAAAATGGTTTACATGTTGACTCTTAAAGAATGTTCCACTTAATTCTTTCTACAACTGACCAAGAAAATGTAATGTGTGTAAATTCAGTCCCTATCAAAAAAAGGTAAGAATCACTGGTGTGAGCAATAATGCCAGCTAAAGAGGGTACATTATAGTAGTGTAAACATCTTCTTATTCTCTCATTATTAATATTATTGGCATTTATATAGCTCCAACATATTCCACGGCGCTGCACAAATTAATGTGAGGATATAAAAACACAAATTTAAAAAAATAACTACAAATGATAACATGAAATTAAAGTTTATCAATGGCTTTCAATCGTGTATTACATGCACCCAATCTGTAATCAAGCACTGAAATGTTTTATGTATTGTTTTTTTTCGTTTACTTATTTTCAAACCAGTTGTATTCTCATTGCTCTCTATTTTCCTAATATCACTATCTTTTCTAAAAAAAATGTGTTCATCAAAATGTACTTTATATGTTTAAAATGAAATTGCCACTAACAAATGTATGAATTCCCCTACAAGTGTTGTTCAAACATTATATTATATGACAGAAAACAAAAAATAATTTCTTTTTATATTATACAGCTTAGTGGACCAGTTTAAATCGATTTTATGTCTTTAAAACGCAAATATTCTAGATATAAAATAATCGGATATGTATAAAAAAAATGTATTTAAAATAAAAATAAACAGAATATAAACTGCATGTTCTTCTACCATAAATCAAGATTACAGTCTGTGAATACATTTTTGGAATGTAAATCCTGTAGAATTTTAAAAGAACTGAGGTTACAGTAAAATATGCATTTACTCTAAAATAAAAACAATAGTTAATTTTATTAACATTTTAAATGAAATTCTGCAAATTAGGGCTGTGTTGAAAATTAAATTCAAAGTATGCAAAATCTTTGTAATGTATTGCTGGAAATGTGGAATGAATTCGTTTTTTATTTAATCATATTTAATCATATTCTTAAAAAAATAAATGCTGTGTAAACAGCCTTCGCTTTGCTGTTATGGTTTTTTGAGCAATAAAACAAGAAAGCGATATTATTCTTGCCCATTGCAGTTTATAAAATGATAATCTCTCCTTGACCAACCAGATATTTTAAGGCCTGATAAGGACACCGGCTAATTGTTTTTCGGTTGTTATTTTTTTAAGTAGCCCTAAAGCAAAAATACAATATTTGCCGGGTAAATGATTGAAAAACAGATATAATATTTTATAAATGTGAATATTTTGGTTCCACTCGGTTACTCTTCCTGTAACAATTAAAAAAAAACAGGTGACTGGGTAACGTATCATATATGCAAGAGTGAGTTGGTCATAGGGAGGGAGAGAGAGATGAATTAGAGGCTGGATGGAAAAAGGGCATGTACAAAAAATAGGGTTAGAAAAAAGGATGAATGGTGAAAAGTTTGTTTATATAAGAAGGGCAGACATGGAATGTGAGATGAGAAATTCAAAAATAAAAGTGGGGACACTGTAAAGAGTGAGTATGACAAGGAGAGAAGGAATGAGTGGGAATGTGGTGTAGGGTGAAAGAAGGAATGAATGGGTATGCATTTGAAACTGAGAGAAGGAATGAGTGGTAACGTGGTGTAGGGTGAATGAAGGAATGAATGGGTATGCATTTGAGACTGAGAGAAGGAATGAGTAGTAATGTGGTGTAGGGCGAAAGAAGGAATGAATGGGTATGCATTTGAGACTGAGAGATGGAATGAGTGGTAATGTGGTGTAGGGTGAAAAAAGGAATGAATGGGTATGCATTTGAGACTGAGAGAAGGAATGAGTGGTAATGTGGTGTAGGGTGAAAAAAGGAATGAATGGGTATGCATTTGAGACTGAGAGAAGAAATGAGTGGTAATGTGGTGTAGGGTGAAAGAAGGAATGAATGGGTATGCATTTGAGACTGAGAGAAGGAATGAGTATTTTAGACTGAGAGAAATAATGAGTGGGAAAGCATTTGAGACTGAGAGATGGAATGAGTGGGAATGTGGTGTAGGGTGAGAGAAGAATGAGTAAGAATGCATTGCAGAAAAGGCAAAGGAATTATTGATAATGTAGTACATGGTGAGAGAAGGAATAAGTGGTAATGTGGTGTAAGTGGGAATATAGTGTGAAAGAAGAATGAGTAAGAATACAATGAAGGGTGAGAGAAAGAATGAGTGGGAATATAGGGGGAGAGAATGAATGGGAATGCGGTGTTAGGGGAAAGAATGCAGTATAGGGTGTGAAAAGAATGAGTGGTAATGCATTGTAGAGTTAGAGAGGGAATAAGTGGTAATGTGTTGTAGAGTTAGAGAGGGAATAAATGGTAATGTGTTGTAGAGTTAGAGAGGGAATGAGTGGTAATGTGTTGTAGAGTAAGAGAGGGAAAGAGTGGGAATGCGTTGTAGAGTTAGAGAGGGAATGAGTAGGAATGCGTTGTAGAGTTAGAGAGAGAATGAGTGGTAAGGCGTTGTAGAGTTAGAGAGGAATGAGTGGTAATGCATTGTAGAGTTAGAGAGGGAATAAGTGGTAATGCGTTGTAGAGATAGAGAGAGAATGAGTGGTAAGGCATTGTAGAGTTAGAGAGGAATTAATTATAATGCGTTGTAGAGTTAGAGAGTTAATAAGTGGGAATGCATTGATGAGTTAGAGAGGGAATGAGTGGAAATGCGTTGTAGAGTTAGAGAGGAATGAATGGTAATGCGTTGTAGAGTTAGAGAGGGAATGAGTGGAAATGCATTGTAAAGGGAGTGAATGAGTGTGAATGCAAGGTAAGGTGATAGAAGGAATGAGTGGAAATTTAGTCTGGGGTAATAGAATAGTGAGTGATAATGTAGTTTGGGGTAAGAGAAGGGAAAGTGGGAATGTAGGTTTAAAAGAAGTGGAAATTCAGGGTGGGACAAGAGAGAGAAAACGGAATAGGAATGAAATGTAAGATTAGAGAAGGAGGTGTAATTTAAGGTAGGAATGAATAGGAACATAGTATAGGGTAAGAGAAAGAGTGTACGAAGTGAGCACAAGATGGGATGATAGGAGAATGGGGTTTGTAGTATGTAAGGAGGTTGAGAAAATGAAGCGTGGGATGCAGGAATATAGGATGGGAATGTAATTGCAGTGAGAAATAAGACTGTGAGTGCACTGTGTAGTGGAAACTGTGGTAGCATGGTTTGGGGTAAAAGTGGGAATTTTGTGTGTGATAAAAGAGGAAGGAATGAGAATACAGTGTGTGATGAAATAAAAGGAATTGGAATATAAGGTGTGCTGACAGAGGGAGTAGGATTAAAATGTGGGGTGACAGGGAGAAGTGGAAATGCTGTGGGGTAATAGAAGAAGGGGTGGGAATGCAGTGGGGAGCATTAGAGGTGGGGTGGAGAAATTTGAGGATGGCCTCATAGTACCCGCTAGGAGGCCCACTCCTTTAGGTAACAAAGTCCCAGGTTGTACTGTGCTTTGTGTGCTATCATAGTACTGTCTAATACTGGATCCAGAAACCTCACAGGAAACCAGTGACTTAGAAGAAAGAGTATTAAATAGACAACTGGTTCTGCTTTGAATTGACACTCTGTATATAAAAGATAGTGCTTATGTACAGAGAGTGTCATAAACACGGTGGATCCTGGGATACGATTATCTTTATAAATCAATTTAGTCCAGAAAATAGTGCTCTCTGTGTCATTCACTGGGATAGCTTATATACAAAGATACACGTTCGATGTGTGTAATGTATAATGTAAGTTATGCCCTAATTCAAACCAGAATTTTTTTTTGCACTTCGTACTTGGCCTTATTTTTCTGTTAATTGACATTAGGGGGTTCTGGTCCCCCCTAGGATAGAACGCTGGTTTGACACTCCTGAGTGTGGTATATGTTGCATGCAGTCAATGCAAAAGCAAAGCAGACCCCATCTGCTAAAAAAAACCTACAACTCCCATGATCTGACAAGATTGCTGAAAGTTTAATCAGAATTAGGATTTTCTTTATATTGGCACGAAACTCACATGACATTATGTTAAAGATAGATGGTGGGAATTAGTGACAATCTTGAATGACCAATGGCCCTCCTTTTACTGTTTTCATAGATATACTTAATGCAGTACCAGCTTGGTTTAATAAAAAATGTACATTTATTAAAGACCAGAGGAGACTGGTGTATTCTTTCTCCCAGATCTGACCTCCTATCCTTTGTCCTCACATTGCCCAGACAGCTTTAGCACTTCTTCCTGTGCAGCTAAATATCTGTTCCATAGTCTATTGATATCCATATATATTGTATAGTTTATCCAGCAATCTGCCTTGCTGGCTGGGTGAGTGCCACTTTAACCTTTTGTCAATCTCATTTCCTTTAGACTGTAAACTGGCTTGAGGAGTGCGGCCCATTTACATCGGTCCCTTTATCCGTGAATTTAGTTTAGTTTGTGGTTTACAAAGCGTAGAGGGCTGTTGAATAAGTTCTCCCTTTATAAATAAAATATTCAAGAAACCACAAATAGTTGTCATGATGGAATCCGGTAGCTTGTAATGACTGCTTGTTGGGAAAGGGTTAGCGTTGCGGCGTGTTGGTGTACAGGATGCAACCAGCAGTCTGCACACCCTCAGGGGGACCTCGTCTGGCCCCCAGGGGCCTCACACACAGGAGGCTGCACCATTTGTTAGTTGTTGGGAGCAGCCTGTGGCATAGAACTGTGGTATATGAAAAATGGGTCTGTACCAGGCTCTCTCACCAGCAGCTGCTGTGGGAGGTGGGCACGTACTCCCCCCATTGCCATCCGTGCCACCCCCTCAGGGGGCAATCTGTGTGCTTCAGCACAGCCCTCTGTCCTTACTGCCTTCGTACTACTTATGAAAATCTCACAGAGGGTTCTGCTAACGTATCTGTTTTTTTCTGTTTTGCAACTCTATAGCCACACAGTTGAGTGGCAGGAGGTTGCAAGTTTGCCATCTCTGCCGTTTGTGAGGTTTTGATACTCTGCAGCGTTTCATGTTATTTTGGCAGCTTGTGCTCTGATTATTGTATTGTTCCTGTACGGTTTAGGGACAGTTTCATTCACAACTGCCAGTTCCCTCTGTAACTTTCTGCTTTGCGTATATATCCCATGGCAGCAGTTTTATGTCCAAATCCTACACCCACTATTTTCTGTCTGTGAGCAATATGCGCCAGCACTGTACTGCCTGTGTGCAACTCTGTACCCGTCATGTATGCCATGTGCATCCATCCTGGATACACAGATCTATGCCCAACGTGTGTGCTGTGTGAGTGCCACTATGCCCATTCCATCACCCATGTAAGAGCAGTGTATACCAGCCCTGAATGGCCAGTGTGAGCAGCTCTGTGACCCCAATGCACTCACTATGTCAGTAACTCTGGGCCAATTCTGTATTCCCTTTGCCACTCTATACAATACACCATACGGCTTTATCCCATAGTGCGAGAATTCTCCCTCTTCTAGCAATCGTAGTTTCTGCTTTGCTATTTCTTATTCTTAGCTGACGTGGCCTGGTATTAATTTCTCATTTCCCACACCGTCTCTGACTGCCTGGCTCATTTTCCACTTGTTATGTTGAATCTCTATAAATGACTCCCTCGCCACTATCTTTCTGCCAACTTTGCCACTTATATCACAGCTTGGCAATATTTAATCTAGGGCAGTTTTCATAGTAATGAAGCAGCCAGAACCCCAAACTGCACACAAACGTTTTTCAATCAGAGTGACATAAGGGGGCTCCTGCCATCCTGTCCCCTTGCTAACCCTGTGTTAACTGTATCCCATGTATTCCTTTGTGTCATGACATCCTTTATTCCTGATGCCATTGCATTCCTTTTATTTTCCTTGCCTTAAATTACCCTAAACTACTTTTTCTTGTCAATCCCAGTGCCCTTGTCTTTCGTTCTTGTTAACTTGTTTTAAACCCTGTGGAATTTACCTAGTGTTTAAGAAATCAAGGATAATCATCCACATTTCCCTCTACTTCAATTTGTCTTCTCTTTTCCTTCCTGCTCACTTGTGTCTGTCTATCTGTTCATCGTTCTTGTCTTTCTGTCACTCTCTCCTTCCGCGTACTCCCATGCCCTGTGTCTATCTCTATTCATCCACAGTCTTTCTCTCCCCTCCTGTTCTCCTTTCCCCTGTCTCTCGTCTTCTCCCCCTGGCTGGTTAGAGGCTGCCCTCAGTGCGAGACTGTGCAGTGATACAGTAATTCCCATGCACAGGTGCAGGGTCCCTGATGCTGTGTTACCCTCAGGCACGTCCCCCCGTGCCTCGGCTAACAAACTAGTGGAAGTAATGTCTTGTGGCAGGTAGAGGAATCCAACCGACCAAGTAGATATGTTAGGAAGTGTCTCCGAGAGCGCAGCTCAAACACCTGGCTCTCTGTCCTCTCTTTCATGTGAGCACTCCAACGTTCCCCAATTCACCACTCCTCTCCTCCAAAATAGAGTCCCGAAACTTTGAGCCTTTCTTTTCTTCCTGCAGGTCTTCTCACCCTGCCTCTTTTTTATTTAGTTTTTTCCACCTTTTAGCATTTCACTTTTATGTTTCTGTATTTTTAAAACCTTTATTTAATTTACCTCTCTTTATATTATTTGCATTTCTAAGTCAGATTTTTATTTCTATTTTTTTCACATTTCTATTTGTATTTTTTTCTCTCTTGACCCATTTTCACCTTCATTTTTATTTTCAAATAGTCTTTTATCCCTTTTTTCTCCTGTGTGTTTTCTTTCATTCCTTTTCATGGATTGTCTCCCTTCTGTTCATCTGTATTTTGTTTAACAATAATTCTATAGTTTTGCAGTGCTTCGCATATAACATGGTAGACAATAGAACTTCTGTATTTCCTATTATGGTCATATCTTTTCCCTTTCTTGTCTTTTAGTCCACATATTACAGTTCGTATTTTTTCCCCCATTATTTTCCTCTGTAGATTGTGAGGGTAATGTTGAATTTTTTAATTTATGTGTCCTGCTTGTTCTATTACATTACCCTTTCGGTCTATTTCTCTGCTTATCTTGAATTTTTTTTTATCTTGAGTTATTTAATAGATTTTTGTTCTGCTCTATTTTATTTCGTTATATTTTTCTTTCATTTTTTGTTTCCTTTAATTTTCAGTTTGTTTGTATGCACCAATTTATGTATTATTTTTTTTATTATTATTTTTTTTTACATATAAGCCATCTTTTGTCTGGGATTTTTTCCAATTATAGTTTTCATTTGCTAATGCATTATTTAATTTTAAAAAAATTACTCTTTTCATTGGACTTATTTATTTTTGTTTTTCCTAAACCTTCCTTTTTGTTTCTTTATATTATCTTCAAATTTATTTTAATTTTTTATTTATTTATTTTGGTTTATTCCTTTGTGTTTGTTTGTTTTTGGGGAGGCGGTTTTGACAATCATAATAAAATTACCGAGTGTGCATATGTTCTCAAAAAGAGCTTGCCTAGTTTAAACAGAATATGAATAACCCTTTGTAGTGCTCCACCCCACAAATCGTTATTGTAAATGTATATACAGTTTATTGAGTTCATTGTGAAAAAGGCACTAATTGGCCACTGCTTTCCACTGCAGGTTTGCTCTTGGTGCCTGAATGACACAACTCTACATACAGTCGGGTAAGGGAACCCACTGTTACTGTGTAAAGACGTTGACTGTAGGTGACCTCAATAATGTCTAAAGAAGAAGAAGGAGCTTGCAAGTTGAGCTCTGCCTGTAAGCATAAGGAACGCAAGCCTAAAAAACCTCATTACATCCCTCGACCATGGGGAAAACCGTATAATTACAAGTGCTTTCAGTGTCCTTTTACCTGCATGGAGAAGTCCCACCTCTATAACCACATGAAGTACAGCTTGTGCAAGAATTCCCTGTCTCTCCTAATCGAGTCAGACTGGCCTTACAAGAAGAACAATTTCCTCATCCCGGAAATGCATCTTCTACAGGAGCCACAGTCAGAGAGTACTGCCGACAGGCAAGAGATGTGCGATTCCACTGGCTCAAATACCTCCAAGGCTAAACAGACAAGGGAGAAGGGTCCATCTGAGGTGCAGAGATTCATGGACGAAGACGATGAGAGGGAGGAGGAAGAAGAGGAAGCAGCGGGTCAGAGCCAAAAGGATAAGAACAGGGGCTTGCGGCCTGTGCAGGGAAGTCCAAATAAGACTGAAACCCACATATCAGTGACAGGGTTAAAGGGCAAGAGAGAAAGGCCAAGCAAAGAAGGGGATCCTGAGTTCATTATAACAGATGTCTTCTCCTTAGAAGGGCAGTTTGAGAAAGAACGAGAGGAGCAGAGATTTGTGAAAGGTTCCAGGAAAGCTCCTAGCAATTTGGGAGGTTCTCGGGCTGAGCAGTGGAAACTTCTAAATAGTACGCTCAAGAAAGGGACAACAGAGGTACCAACTGGAGCTAATATTATCCCATGTTATCCACCACCGACATACACAGAATATCAGGAACCACAGGGCCTCTCACTACTAGGTATCAACTACCCACTGAACACTAACCTGTTTTCTTACTTAAACCCCGCTGTGAGCACTGGTACAGCACAGCTCCCCTTTCTAGCATCTACAGCCCAGCTCATGCAACCTACCCACTCCTCGCACTTCCAGACTCTGCAAAGCCCTGAGCGATCATTTCTCCCCCGCTTCTACTATCCTCTGCTTTTTGAACATGCATTTAACAATACAGAGGGAAAATTGGTTGCTGGAAAGCCAGTGAACCAGGCCCAGACAGTGCATACTTCATTTGTTGCAGCTCCAAAAACCAAAACAAGTGTAGAACCTGTGAAAGTAGGTCTTCACAAGACCCCAGAAGATAAAAACACAGTGGTTTGGGGATCTGGAGACAAGCTGGTAAAGCATACTTTGCCACATAATAAAGGATTGCAAGATGGAGAGGGAAGCTGGCCTCCCCAAGCAGTTCTAGACGCCATTCAACAGCAAAAGCAATTACTTGGTGTTTACGGCACTCCGTCTCTTGGCATGAAAGAAGACTTTACATCACAAAAGGCAACTACCGATGGACCAGTGTGGGCCAATTCCATTCCTGCCAAATGCATGAAAAGAAAGCCTTGGTCAGAGAGCTCTCCTCCAGATATTTGCATGGATCAAACTGCATCACTGGTGGGAGGAGAACGACCCACACAAAACAGGTAGGCCTTTATCATTAAATAACCAAACTCCTCATTCAGTAAATTGAAAAAATAAAACAATTTTATTTATCTCTAATGCGGCGGAATGCATTATATAGTCGTTATTTTAAGACCATTATGTTTCTTAATGAAATTCACCGATAGTGTATATACCAGTGGCTCCCAACCAGGTCCTCACTGTTCACCACATCTCCCATTTCTCAAACAATGACAGTAACACAAAAAACCTAGACCATGAACTGCATTGGGAACCATTGGGGTACGTTACTTAAAACCACTGAATGCCAAGATTAGTTTATAACTCGCCCTTTTAGCATTGTGATGGCAAACCCTTGGGACCTTAGCTTTTGTCCATTACTGTTGTGATAATTTTTCATATACAATAACCACTGGAAATACATAAGACACTGAGGTCCCTAGTAAATGTAGGAGATTTCTATGGCATACTTAAAAGTAGTCACATTTTAGCTACACTGCCAGGAGAGTACATTAGTAGCGTGGCATGTACTTGAAATGGTAAAAGTAAACTTTTGAAGAAAAGCTATTTTATTTATTCTCTGTTTTCTTATCAGCTCCTATTCCCCTCACATGTCTTCTCCTGATGCCTGGCAAGACAAAACCACCATTCTTGATGCATCTTCACACAAGCGAAGGCGAGAGTCTGAACTTAGTGCAGAGAACACAGAAACTATGGGTGAAAATACCTCAGTGCTTATTGGAGACCTCTCCAGGACTCTAGAGGAATATGGAAAGGTGGAGAAAAGGCTGGCAAACCTGGCATCTGAGGATAACAGCCGGCAGAAAGTTCTGAGTGAGCAACTTGGCAAAATTCGATTGGAGCTTTTGAATATCCACCATGCTTTAGAGAAGGCATCATATCCACATGAAGGACCACTAGATCTTTCCATTAAAAGATCAGAAGACATGGGAAAAGAAGAAGGAGACAAGGTCCCACCAGGAGATGACCCACTAACATGCCCACCCACAGAATGTTCACCCAGGCAGCTGGTTAAAGTGGAACTATTGTCCCCAGAGTTAGTCACCTGCTATGCCCGTCCAACCAAGTGTGAGGCAGACTCTAGTGTTCTGGTTTGTCCCGATGGCAGGGGAGGATGTACTAGTGTTACACAACCTCTTGTTTCTATCCAGGAAGAAGGTTTGGGGTTTGGGAGGGGGCGCCAGCAGTTGGAAAGCGTTTGAACATTTAGAATATCTGCAGCTTGGAATATTCTTCATTTTCACCCTCAAACAATACATTTTAAAACTTATACCTTCAACGCAAAGTTTTCTGAAGCACATTGCAAACCATTTGCACTAGTTCCGTAAACTCAAACTCGTGTCTTGGCTGGGCTTTAACCCTGAAACGTACTGTGCATAAATACTGTTCAACGAAGAGACAAGAATTCACACATAACTTACAGATCACCTTAACATGCCCTAGACATTTCACTGTGAAGGAGAAGCAGACTATTTCTGGTGCAGAACATCGCATTGCAATTCATAGTCAAAGTTCTACAGACTTCCTTGCAGTTAGTTCTTACGTGTACCTAAAAGGGTATCATCAATCTATGCTACTGCTGGAAACCTTTTCTACCAGTCCTAGTTATCGGTGGCAAATCACACTTATAAATCTGACATTGCATAATCTCATCGGGGATTATAGACAATGTCCACTAGTTGTAGACTGCATCCAAAAGGATACAGTTTTTTTATCCAATGCGGGACTCAGAGTGTAGGCTTTGAAGTACAATTTCCACACCAGAAACTGTTATGTCATTAGCACTGTTAATATGATTTTATGTTACAGTTTATTCACCTCATTAAACACTAATACATTGTTTTCTGACATTTAATGTTCAGTTTAAGAATAAAAGCCAACTAGTAGGATCACTTATATTGTAAACATGTACCCTAGAGTACTTGTTAAGTTAATTAATATATTTTTTTCTGTAAATTGTACAAGTTTTTATTTTTTATTTTTTTATTTTAACTACGCATTTGGAGAACTGACAAATATTAGATGGACTTCCACAGCCAAATCTCTTTAACAATCTGGTTACATAATGTAAATTAGTCCCTACTTTATCCTATGAGTCATTTTGAAATGGTACACATTTTGTAGAGTAAAAACAATACCTGCTGCCCAAATTTGTTGAAGACTTTTTTTGTGTAAAACTGTAAAACAAAACAGATCCATTTAAATAAACATAAAAAAATACTCACATATTATTCTCAAACACAAGATTCTCTTTTGACTAAAGATTTATTCTATAAGTGATCCAAAAAGTGTAAAATGTTTATTCTTTGATGTAATATAAATATATCTTGCAATGGGTCGTTGTATATCATCACACAGTTTTTATCCAGGTATAATTGTGTTTATTAAACAGCTGTCTTGCTGACTGTTAAAATTGTCCTTTTTTCTGAATGAAACACTATTTTTTTTTGCAAACCTGCTAGTGGAGTAAAGGGTAAACCAACCAAACATGTATTCCTGAACCTGTAGTGATAAACCCACCATCTAGCCCTCCTTGTCGCCCTCCCTTCTCCCCTAAATATAGTAGAATCTTACTTTTGTTCAAGTCTGCAGCTGATGGCTCTGCCCCTGACCTGCCTGCTTGGCTGACATCATCAGAAGTGATTCTCTCATCCAATCACAATGCTTTCCCATAGGATTGGCTGAGACTGTCAAGGCGGCAGATCAGGAGCAGAGCCAACACAAGCCAAACACAGCCCTGGTAAATCAGCATCTCCTCATAGAGATACATTGAATCAATGCATCTCTGAGGAAAGTTCAGTGTCTCCATTCAGAGGGAGGATACACTGAATGTCAGTGCAGCACACAAAATATAGCATGGGACAAAGTAGGGACTAGTTTTGTTTTACGGTAAATCCCAAACTTTTGGTCACTTCCCACAGCCTTTGCTATTAACGGCTGTGGGAATAAGGCATTATCTCACTGATGAAGAGACAATAACTATGGGGGCTCTCGTGGTCTTGCAGGATTCTCCATATACATCAGTATTGTACTCTTGCGCATGTGCGAGAGTACAGCATTGACGTGGGCTCCCGGATGATGAAGCAGAAGCAGCTGAAGATTGAAAAAAGCAGTGCCCGTGGAGGACAGAATCAGGTAAGTATAACTCACCTCTACTGCACCTAAGCAGCAATGTCACCATTGTGGCTCTTTGCAAAATATGCAAAGACCCCAGAAGGTGACAGCCACTTAATGTAGTGCATCTGGTGCAAAGAAGCCTCAACAATCCTTGCAGCCTCATCACTCCCTTCTAAGAAAAGGCAGTGTTAACATTGCAGTCTAAGCACACCTCTAGTAGCTTCCTGGAGCAGTCCTGCAATCTTTGTGTGACCAGTGGTTCCCTGTGTTCACACTCTACAGAGATGCTGATCCTTCCCCATAGAGATGCTTTGAGCTAATGTATGACTATGAGGACATGCTAAAGCATTGGATTGGACGAGATCATCTGTAGTGATGATCTCAGCCACTGGAGGTGCATAAATCTAAATAGTTGGGAAAACACTAACATTCGGAACACATGTTTCTTTTCCCAACGTTATAGCGTTCCTTTAAACAAATCCTGGGTTTGTGAAACACATTTTTAAAAATAAAAAAAGTTCCCTTTTGTAATTGCTAAATTATAATTTTACTGACTTGTTGAATCTGACGGAATCACTAAAAAATGGACAAGATAAGCCATGCCAATTATATACCAGTGATAGCTAATCTGGGCTCTGCAGACTGAGTATCTAATAAAGCCCAAAAGCATTTGCAAGTTAGCTATCTAAACTCATGGAGAGACTCTTTCCACAAAATATGGCGGCTCTGTTTCACATTAGACGAATCACATAAATAGCCATAATAACCTCTAAAGCTTTAAAAAACACTTTCTATGATTCTTAATGTAACTCATGGCTTGTAAACGTTATGAGTTAGATGGCTATATCCACAGGCGTACCTACCACGGTCGCAGGGGTCGCCCCTGCGATCGTGGGCTGCCTGGATACCTCATGGGCCTGTGCACGGCCGCACCGGCCCGGGTTCGCGGTTCCTGGAGGTTTTGCAGGAAGGGAGAGCTGCACTGTGCTGCTCCCCTCCTTCCTGTGTGTAGTGTGGCCGAGTGATCTGACAGGAAATGCTCACTGTTAGAGCACTTCCTATCAGACCGGGAACCGCGGCCAGTAAGGTACAGGAGGGGAATGGGGAGGGTATAGGATACAAGGAGGGGAGGGGATACAGGGAGAGAGAGAGGGTATGGGACACAGAGTGGGGAGGGGGGAGAGAAAAAGGGTATAAGACACCGGGAGGGGCGAGAAATGGAGTGTATGGGACACCTGCAGGGGAGGGGGGAGAAATGGAGGGTATGGGGGCACCTGGAGGGGAAGAGAGGGAGAAATGGGACATAGGGATGGGAAGGGGGAGGAGGGAGAAATGGAGTGTATGGGATACATGGAATGGAGGGAGAGAGAGGGCAGAATGGTACACATGGAGGGGGGAGAGAGGGAGGGTATGGGACGCAGGGAGGGGAGAAGGAGAAATGAGACACATGGAGGGGCTGGGAGGGAGGAGGGTATGAGAAACATGAAGGGGCTGGAGGAGGAGCCTATGGGACACATGGAGGGGCTGTGGGGCAGAGGGAATGAGGCACATGGGGGGGCCTGGGCGCAGGAATGGGTCACCAAGGAGGGGAATGAGACACACAAGACACTTTTTGCACCGGGGCAAGTGGATTCTAGTTACGCCTCTGGCTATACCTTGCTTTCCCAGAAGCCTTTGCCAGTGGAACATGACTTTTAAAACCCATGAACACCCTTTTTAATGTGTGCCAAGCTGTTTATGGCGAAACTCATAACTTTAAAGGGAAATTATAGTGCCAGGAAAATAAAGTTGTATTCCTGGTATTATAGCTACCTATAGTTCCCCCCCCCCCTCCCTACCTTGGTGCAGAAGGGGTTAAAAAAAACCTTCTGTCAATTAACTGATTCCAGCGCCGATATCCCTTGGCACTGATTTAGGCTCCGCCACGCTCCTTCCCCACCATCAGCCCTACTCGCGTTAGAACTTCCCCCATAGGAAAGAATTGTATAAAGCTGTCCTTTGGGGTTTCTGATGACGCTGGATGTCTTCATGCATAGTGTGAGGATGTCCAGTGTTAGTAAAGTGAACAAAAGTCGCCTAACAACCTGGAGTGGCTGGTAAACAGCCTCTGGTAGACAGCCACTAGAGGTGGAGTTAACCCTCCAAGGTAAATTCTGCTGTTTCTAAATAACTGCAATAGTTATCATTGTAGGGTTAAACTGACAGGGTCAGTGCACCCAGACCACTTCAATGAGATGAAGTGGTTTGGGTGCCTATAGTGTTTAAAACATGTGTTTCAAACATGATTGCATTGAAGTTTAAATTAAATTCCAATGCAGTCATCGTGAATATTTTTTAAGATTCTATCTTCTTGAAATACTGAAAATTGACAGAACAACTTTAACTTTTGCCCACCACATGCTGCATCAGTTTTTAATGTCCCCACAAACATTAGAAAAATGTATCTTCAACCTACAGGCCTGCTGTTAGGAAATCCTCTGCTGTTCTTCAATCATGGTGTTTTAATAGATCATACAAGCAAGTACGTATTTTAAATTAATATTTTATTGGTTGTACATTGCATAGGGCTTATTAAAGATGTCTATGTGAAAACAAGATTCATCATATGGGGTGGGGGGGCTGAACATAGTTTTTGAGGGATGACCATCTGCAGATAACGTTACACAAGAAAAGTAAAAACTGTTTCTTGCAGAAAACAAAATTACACTGTATTAAAATTTTCCTTTCCAAAAATGGGAATAATTACTAAAAACTAATAAAATAATCCCTGATGAGTTTGGCTTTGCTTCATGAGCCAGAGAACACGCAAAGACGGATACAATTTTCATTGTGTATTTGGACATGTTAAAAATGATACAACCAATGTTTTACAATGCAGGGTTAAATTGACAGGACCCACACTACTTTGTTAAGATAAAGTGGTCTGGGTGACTTTAGTGAAAACGTTCACTGATCAGCATGCCAAACTAATGGTCGATACCGGACATTCTAAATAGATTGCCAGGGGATTCCACCTGCAAACGTTCACTGATCAGAATGCCAAACTAATGGTCGATACCGGACATTCTAAATAGATTACCAGGGGATTCCACCTGCAAACGTTCACTGATCAGAATGCCAAACTAATGGTCGGTACCGGACATTCTAAATAGATTACCAGGGGATTCCACCTGCAAACGTTCACTGATCAGAATGCCAAACTAATGGTCGGTACCGGACATTCTAAATAGATTACCAGGGGATTCCACCTGCAAACGTTCACTGATCAGAATGCCAAACTAATGGTCGGTACTGGACATTCTAAATAGATTGCCAGGGGATTCCACCTGCAAACGTTCACTGATCAGAATGCCAAACTAATGGTCGGTACCGGACATTCTAAATAGATTACCAGGGGATTCCACCTGCAAACGTTCACTGATCAGAATGCCAAACTAATGGTCGGTACCGGACATTATAAATAGATTACCAGGGGATTCCACCTGCAAACGTTCACTGATCAGAATGCCAACCTAATGGTCGATACCAGACATCCTAAATAGATTGCCAGGGGATTCCACCTGCAAACGTTCACTGATCAGAATGCCAACTTAATGGTCAATACCGGGCATTCTAAATAGATTGCCAGGGGATTCCACCTGCAAACGTTCACTGATCAGAATGCCAAACTAACGGTCAATACCGGACATTCTAAATGGATTGCCAGGGGATTCCACCTGCAAACGTTCACTGATCAGAATGTTAAACTAATGGTCATTACTGAACATTCTAAATGGATTTCCAGGGGATTCCACTACAAGCATTAATATATTTGAATGCTAAAATAAGACATTCAAATGTTTTTACATAACTAAGTCTTGTATCAGACTAGAGTGCCCTCAGTTGACCAATATTAATAGATTAATACCTAATGAAATTGCCAAAACATATTAGAGTTCCTTGTAAGAAGCATCGTTAATAACTCGTTATTCTGATAAATGAACTCCTCTACACAAACCTAAATTTAAATGAATTCCGATTTTAGAATGCCATCATTTTGCTTTGCACATACCACTCATCCATTTTACTCTCTCACTGAATGACGGCTTAATTCATTATAATGTTTGTTACATCTTATAGAAACAGTCAAGACGGAGAATTAACAATTTTTCCTTATAAGAATCTTTTTTACCGTTACAAATATCTTAGAATTCTGAATCAACTGTATGCTGTTTTAAACCATCAACTCATTAAAGATTTCCGTTCGCTCAGTATCCAAAGCACAACCCGTACTCTGAGTCCTCTGGACCTTTACTTAGATTACAATGGTATCCAGAGAGACCCTGCCTGCCAGGAGGGTATGTGCTTGGACTGAAAGACATGGCAGAGCTTTGCACCAGCGGGCACCGCTGCCAGCCCATGCAGATGAGTAAATAAGGAAGGCAGCAGAGTTCACATAACCCTGGGGACAGCCATAGGACACTGTCACTGCGCATCAGTGTCACTGTCACTGAACCTCATTGCTGCCCCATTAAACACAGCTCCGGGCTCATGTAATTGGCTCAGACTGAGGGTTACCCTTAAACACGAGAGCCTGTCTACCAGTACTTATTTACAACAGGTCCCAGACTCTTAACCCCTTTCATGCTGGAGGGGACATCAAAATATTGACAAGTATAGTTATGCCAAGCTAAAAAGTAACCACTTTCTCCCACTGCATTGACAGGTCTAAGCACTAAACAGTGAGTTCTGGTACGTGCAAAAATAACACCGATATAGCTCAGTGGAAAAAATAAATAAATAGGATTATTGACTGGAGTGGGAATTGTGAGAATTGATCAGGGAAATGAAAATCTCAGTCCAAAACAGCAGAGTTTGAAAATGTCTAAAAATCTAATAACAGAATCCTTTTAAAACTTTCAGCCTACATGTTTTTCAATTCTGTTTTCAACACACCACAACTTACTGTTTATATATAGCCAGGGCCAGCTTTAGGCCATTAAGCGCCCTGTGCGAAAAAGCTTCATGGCGCCCCCCACCAAGATGCCTGTATACAGTCACAGGCACAAGCAGACAGTCACACAAACAGTTACAAGCAGAATCAGACACGCTCAGTTACAGGCAGACAGTCACACACACACACACACACACACACACACAGTTACAAGCAGACAGTCACAGAGCCAAACACACAGTTAAAGGCAGAGAGGCACACAGTCACAGGCAGACAGTCACACACACAGTCACAAGCAGACAGTCACACATACTCCATTACAAGCAGTCATACACACTCCGTTACAGGCATGCAGACACTCACGCACTATGATAGGCACACACACACACACTCAGTTAAAGGCAGATATTCACACATACAGGCACAGGCACACACAACGGCACAGCTACAGTGACACACACAATTGGAGTCACACACAGGCAGACAGTCACACACACACAGGCAGACAGTCTCACACACACACATAGGCAGACAGACAGCCTCACACACATACACACAGGCAGGCAGTCACACACAGGCAGGCAGTCACACACACACACACACACAGGCAGACAGTCACACACAGGCAGGCAGTCACACGCAAACACACACACACACACAGGCAAGCAATCAGACAGTCACACACACACAGGCAGGCAGTCACACACACACACAGGCAGACAGACAGTCACACACACACATAGGCAGGCAGACACATGAACAGGCAAACAGTAACACACAGGCAGGCAGTCAACCACACACACAGGCAGACAGTCACACACACACACACACAGGCAGGCAGACACATGAACAGGCAAACAGTAACACACAGACAGTCACACACACACACACACACACACACACACACACACACACACACACAGAAAGGCAGACACATGAACAGGCAAACAGTAACACACACACAGACTTACCTCTTTCCATTATGGCTGGCAAGGGTAGTGGATGCAGTTGGTTGTTGGGGAAGCAGGGGCGCCTTCCTGCTTCCCTCTTCCTGTGCAGCTTCGTGTATGTATAGGCCCTGCCTTCGCTGCCGCCGCTCATTAAGCCCCACCCCCACTGCAGAGATTTTAAAAAAAATTATATTTGAATAGACCCAGGTACCTGTTTTAGCTCCCCTGTCAGCCGGCCATGTGTGAGCTGTGTCGGCTGTCAGGGCGCCCCCTGGTCTATGGCGCCCTATGCGGCTGCACAGCTCGCACACCCCTAAGGCTGGCCCTGTATATAGCAATAAAACTCCCAAAAGGATAATAAGTACCGGTAATTCAATGTAGGCAGCACAATCAGTGTTTTGTTTTCTTTTCATAGACATATTTGTGATCAGTGCAGAATATATCCATAGAACATGTGCTATTTGGGGGCTCTCAGGGTAGGTTTGGGAAAGTCTGGCTTAATGAGCTCACATGAGAATATCTTCTATTTAGACATTAATGTAAAAATATCAAGGATTGATTAAAACACTTGTCAACATTGATTTGGTTAGCAATCACTTCCCCCTTTATTGAAGGATTACAACTCCCAGTAAGGGGCTGCAGGTTACCCTGTTTAACCGGTGTTGCTCCACTATTAATGCTTAAAGACATAATCTAGCTAAGCATCATGGGAGTTGTAGTATAATAACAAGTATGGGACCAATTACTACCCAGAACTGTCTAAATGCTCAAGTTGTATTGTTTTATACAGTTTTCCAACCATGCTGATTCAGTATATCCCCCGCCTCTCACTGTAACTATACCTACATGAGCCACTCATTGCAAAGGATTATGGGATCTGTAGTTTAAAGTATTAAAATGTACATTTTTGTTATTTTTGCTTTAGTGCCAACAAAACAGTCCTGGCAGCAGACATTATACCAAACAATGACACAGAGGCTAATAGATTTTCAAATTATAGAAACTCACCTTTCAGTTCGGCTACTTTGACCTTAAATTTGAAATTCTCTTTAAAATACGGACATTGTTCACCTTAGTAACTATCCCTGCTAAATTAACAGGTGCCAACAATTATACCAAATGCCTATATGCACTGCTCAGTTTTTGGCAAAAATGGACTGTACATACACAAATGTGCAAATGTCCCTAGTCCTGGCACTATAGTTCCCCCTCCCCCTTGGTGCAGAAGGGGTTTAAAGGCTTGCATTAGGATTTTCTCATAGGAAAGCATCAATTTCCTATGGGGTCTTGGGCGACGCTGGACGTTGCCATGCATAGCGTGGAGACGTCCAATGTCAGTTTGGCAACCAAAAGTCGCACAACAGCCAGAAAGTCCCTCTAGTGGCTGTCTGGTAGACAGTCACTAGAGGAGGAGTTAACCCTAGCAGGTAATTATTGCAATTTATCGAAAACTGCAATAGTTACCTGATCAGGGTTAAGGGTCAAGGGAAATGCACCCAGACCACTTCAATGAGCTGAAGTGGGCTGGGTGCCTATAGTGTCTCTTTAAAGAATTTGTTCGCTGAGCTAATTTTCCAATTTGGATCTCTATCAAAAAAAAAATTTAACAATGGTGTGATCAATGACAGCACCTTCTCCATTTTATATGAATACATTTGTCTAATGTCAGAATGAGCCAAAGTCCCCTTTAAGAGAAGGTGATAGATATTTAGTTGTACCTTCTAAGATGCTCAAATTTGTCCCCAAAAATGGGAAGATCTCCATGCATTATATTATCTGTTAACTTTCTTTGTTTTTCTTTCTTATCCCCTTGTCCTCCCCCTTATGGCACCCTCCACGCATACTGGATATATTGGTTGTGTCAGACTCAAACAGCCGTGTTCCTTTATACCCCCCAGCTTGGTGTTATCATTTATACCGATCAGAGGAGAATGGAGACCTGTCAGAACCAGCTTTTATCCTCTTTACCCAGCTCATAGCTGAAAGACAGTGACAGAGCTGTGATCATGCCATTATGTGTGTATGTATGCGAGTGAATTGCATGCCCACATACGCAGACTACACCTGATTTTTCAATTAACTGTGTATATAGATAGATGGATAAATAAACAACTTAGAAATATAAACAATTCCGTGTTTAATATCACATTTTACTAGCTTATTCTTGGTTCTTGACCCCGAGCTTGTGGAGATTCAGAGGGGATTCACTGATAAAACCTGTGAAGGACTTTTAGAGATATTTAGTAGTTATATCTATATCCTGCATTGGGTGAAAATAACTGAAAATGAATGTGATCCTCAGTGTTATTAGGACATTTAAACTAACATTTCTAAAGCTGAATATTGAGGAGTGTCAGAATGTTTTGTCAGGAGTGTCAGGAGTGTTTCTGGTTGATTAGTTGTTTAGGAATAACAGAATATTACAGGATATAATAGTTAACGGGACACTATAGCCACCAAAACAACTATAGGTCATGTCCCTGCAGTCTGACTGCTCAAGTCTCTGCCATTTAGGAGTTAAATCATTTTGTTTATGAACCCTAGTCACACCTCCCTTCATGTCACTTGCACAGCCTTCCATAAACACTTCCTGTAAAGAGTCATCTAAAGTTTATCCTTCCTTTATTGCAAGTTCTGTTTAATTTAGATTTTTTTTTATCCCCTGCTGTTAATAGCTTGCTAGACACTGCAAGAGCCTCCTGTATGTGATTAAAGTTCAATCTACAAAGAAAGATATATAATTGTTTAAGGTAAATTACATCTGATTGAAAGTGAAACCAGTTTTTTTTTCATGCAGGCTGTGTCAGAGTCAGGGGAGGTGTGGCTAGTGCTGCATAAACAGAAAGTGATTTAACTCCTAAATGGCAGTGAATTGAGCAGTGAAATTGCCATGAAGGGAGGTGTGAACCATAACAATCAGGTTTAACCTTGGATCAACAAGCTATTAACCATAATATTAAAGGAACACTATAGTCACCTAAATTACTTTAGCTAAATAAAGCAGTTTTAGTGTATAGATCATTCCCCTGCAATTTCACTGTTCAATTCACGGTCATTTAGGCGTTAAATCACTTTGTTTCTGTTTGTGCAGCCCTAGCCACACCTCCCCTGGCTATGATTGACAGAGCCTGCATGAAAAAAAAACTGGTTTCACTTTCAAACAGATGTAATTTACCTTAAATAATTGTATCTCAATATCTAAATTGAACTTTAATCACTTACAGGAGGCTCTTGCAGGGTCTAGCAAGCTATTAACATAGCAGGGGATAAGAAAATCTTAATTAAACAGAACTTGCAATAAAGAAAGCCTAAATAGGGCTCTCTTTACAGGAAGTGTTTATGGAAGGCTGTGCAAGTCACATGCAGGGAGGTGTGACTAGGGTTCATAAACAAAGGGATTTAACTCCTAAATGGCAGAGGATTGAGCAGTGAGGCTGCAGGGGCATGTTCTATACACCAAAACGGCTTCATTAAGCTAAAGTTGTTCAGGTGACTATAGTGTCCCTTTAATAAACCAAAGCCATTTTTCAACCTAAATTGATATGTTAAAGTTATCTAAATCTTTTTGCATTGTGACAGAAAAACACAATGATAAATGAATACAGGATGAGATTGAACGAATTAGACATAAAATACCAAATTTTGAAATGTCCAGAGATCGCACTAGTTTTATTAAAAATCAGTGAACTCTAGGGAATTAAAGTTTAGACTAAAATATAGTCGCGTTGTAACTGCGGGTTTATTTAGTAAACTGTGAATTGTGCTAAATGGACAATCTAAACACAAATTTATGCTGAAATAGCCAGCATGTAAAATCTGTGGAAATTGAGAATTTTGAACTTCTGCAATCCAGTTTTCAATTCATTACAACAGGCCCTTGTATCGGAGTCAGGGATTTTTTTAAGAACAGCTATTTTAGCCTTAAATATCTCAATTCATGGTCTAGTAATAAAGTCTAAACTATAGTCCTCTAGACCAGGCTTTCCCAAACTCTGGCCCTCCAGATGTTTCTGAACTACAACTCCCGTGATTCTATGAATGAAATGAATGAGATAGGCTGAGAGTCATGGGAGTTGTAGTTCAGCAACATCTGGAGGCCCGGAGTTTGGGGAAGCCTGCTCTAGACTGTAAGCTTGTTTGAGCAGAATCCTCATCTACCTATTGTTCCTGTGTAATTGTCTCATTTATTGTTAAATGTCCCCATTTCATAATATTGTAAAGCGCTGCGGAACAAGTTGGCACCATATAAATACTAATAATGATAATGCTACACAGCCATATAGTGTACTAGAAATATATCTACTCTTGAGCGACCCCTGCTGGCCGAACAAAGTACATCTAAAGATCAAGAACGGGACTACATAACACAAAATTAGGAGAGTTTCCTTATAATTGACTGACTCTTGTGCCCTGTAGTCCCGAACATGAAATGCCAAATTCTTTTTCTGGTGGTAGGAGACTGTATTTGAGTTCTGCAGAGTTCTTATTAAGAAAAAGCTTCTGGATTCGATATTCATCTTTTCTGAATGAATCAGAAGGGAACAGAAAAATACAATTGGAGAATATTCTAAAAATTGTCTGTTTAGATCAGAATTTTGCAATAATCATGTCGATTCTCCAAAAATTCCTGCTATAGTGAACAACTTTGAAAGTGAGGGTGAAGTGACGTCACTCCAATCCTGCCGATAAAGATGTACTTCAGTTTCCACAAGGGAATAAAAAAATGAAATGTAACTAAATATGAATCCATTAGCGATCTAGAGTCAGTGATGATTGTGGTACACAGGGGGATCGCTGTACTTTTTTATAAATTGTCACAGTAAAAGGGTTAATGACTCAGGGAGGCGTAACTCATCCACGATGTCCTTAAGCTCACTCTAATAGACAGTGGCAGATATTTATCTGAATAGGTCACAGGTGACTGGCGTTAAGGACTCGCAAACCGCTTTCCCATCGTTATCAAATATTTCTTCCAATGTGCGGCTCAGTGCACATTGGCATCAGTCCATATTCAAGGTCTTAGCTTGCTGCATCTGGTCTTACATTTCTTGCATTGGAGGATCTAAGAGAAAATAGCATGAATCTAAAACCATAAGGGTCCCCATACTGGGTATTTAAATTTATCCTGTCATTCTCAAATCATGTGGATGATACGTTCACCCTCATGTAGTTATAGATTTTATTTATATACCGTGCTGGTGGAACCAGTCTCTCTAAGAAAACAAATCATGTAATTCTTCTCCCGTAATGAAGGGTTTTGTGTCTGGCAGAGAATGTGTTAAGTTTGAATGACAAGCTGGTTGTTATCAGAGGGAATCTCTTTAAAGGTCAGTTAAGCAGAGGGTGGAATATTTTGATATAATGGGAGAACCTCAGGCCAGTTCCCACTGGGTCAATCTGTTATTGTCTACAACACTCAATCATTTCAGCTTCACTGCACCTTCTTTTAGAGAATGGTATACATTTCAAAGTTAGGAAAATACAGATTACTAAATTCAAAGTGTACCTAGCCACCAGAGAAATCATTGCAGAGATAGTCTAGAGCAGCGGTAGACAACAGTCGACACTCCAGATGTTGTGGACTATAACGCCCCTGATGCTTTCCCAACATCATGGCTGTAAGAGCATAATGGGAGATGTAGTCCACAGTGCCAAAGGTTGAACAACCCTGGTCCAGAGATTATGGGTTCACTAGAGTGTGTACAATGTAGCTAGACAAGTATTTCTTAAAGTGACACAAAGCACCATAACCACAATCCAGCTGATTGTAATTAGTATGGTACTTTAAATCAGGGGTGTCAAACGGTGAATGTGGTTTTACAAAACCGGGGCTTTCCCAGCCCGTCAGCTGCTTCTGCCAATGTGGAAGTTAACATCTGCTTTAGCTATCTAACTCTTGGTAGCAATTAGAGGATGGAGGCATTTGGCCACACTGCCCCAAGTACTCTCTGCCCACCACTGCTGTCCAAACTTTGACAAGGTGATGCAGCAGTTTGATTCTTCATTAAAAGGACCACCATAGGCACCCAGACCACTTCAGCTTAATGAAGTGGTCTGGGTGCCAGGTCCATCTATGGTTAACCCTGCCTGCTGTAAACATAGCAGTTTCAGAGAAACTGCTATGTTTACATATGGATTAATCCAGCCTCTAGTGGCTGTCTCATTGACAGCCGCTAGAGGCACTTCCGCGCTTCTCACCGTGATTTTCACAGTGAGAAGACGCTGCCGTCCATAGGAAAGCATTTCCGTGCATGCGCATTCAGCCGATGATGTCCGAAGGAGGAGGAGAGTCCCCAGCGCCGAGGGATTAACCCCTTCCTCCCCCTAGAGCCCGGCGGGAGCGGGGCCATGAGGGTGGGTGGGACCTATTAATACTATAGTACTCAGGAAAACGAGTTTGTTTTCCTGGCACTATAGTGGTCCTTTAACTGAAACCCCTGCTTTTGTCAAAGTGATTGACACAAACTGGTAAGAGGGCACCCCCAAAACCACCTTTTTGACCTTGAATGCCTTCAATTAACTCTTTCTAGGCAAAACCACTACAATAAACAATGTATTGGAGTAGTTGCCCAGGGAAAAAATGATTACATTTGTGGGTTAAGAATTTTCTGTTCTAATTTTTTTATTTTTTTTTAGTTCTTCACATTTTTTTCACCCACTGGCCACATAAAAATGTGGATTCTCCTCCAGCCTGGAATGTCCATTTAACATAGGATTTGATAGCAAATAAAAGGTCAGTTGGCCTATCTAGTCTTTCCACTTACTATCTACAATACCCCTAAAATGTTCTCCCTTTAATATCTGGTCCTGATATTGTCTCTGTACAGAGAACACCCTCCCTCAATATTGAATTATTTTGAGAAATTCATTTTACATCACACCCACCATTTCTCCACTTTGTTAGCCATCAAAGATGACTAATTACTAAATAAAAAGATAAATTTAGTTTCCAAATAAAAATCATAATTTTGAGTTTCCTAATAAAATCATGGAGAATAATTCTGTTAGAGCAAAAAAAGGTTAATACAACATTTTTACAACTGGCAGTGCCCGACATATCACCTGGATAATATGACAATGAAAACAAGTCAAATAAAACTAACAACCCTCCACATATTCTTTGAGTAATACTGTAGAAAACGTGCCCTTTATGTCTAGTGACTTATTCAAGAGAGATAATGTCTTATTTTGTTTCTTAAAGAGCAGCCATCGTTACTCAGGAAAAATGAGACCATTGATTAAAATATTGGAAATCATCAATAATGTGTTAATGGGACACTCAATCGCCATAACCACTATAGCTCGCTGTAGTGGTTATGGTGCCAGGAGTGCACTGGTGTTTTAGAACGATCCACCGATCTTCTCTCAGCTACCAGGAGAACCGTATGCTGCTGATTAGAAGCCTCTGTTAGTTCTAGTGAACTAAGCCCTGCAGTGCGCTCAGCGTGTAATCAGAGAATCACTCTCAGCTAATGAGCTGAACCCTGCACTGCTGGGCTTGGCTAAGACAAAGAGCTTCTGGCTAAAGTGGAGGCAGGGACTGGTGCCTGGTGAACCCCAGCAAGAAGTCAAATGTTCTAAAAGGGTTTGACTTCTTACACTCCTGGCACCATAACCACTACAGCGCACAGAGCTTGGAAAGTTAATTTAACCTTATTTTATGTGATGCTCTGTTCAGGACAGTGGTAAACACAGCATTGTAAACTTCTGCAGTACTTATTTTGCAAACATTACAAAAAAGTCCTAAGTCAACATAATATTAGAAATTCAGGGAAGGGATGATTGATGTAGATTTATATTAACCCATTCAATGCCAGCTACATCAATGGTCTCACTTTAAGTTATTACCACTCGATAACCTACAAATGATTTGTATAGATTAGCTCTATTGACATATTACTCAATGGGTTCGGCAGCAAATCAGATACCACTACTAACTGATCTACAAGGAGATTAAAGGGACACTATAGTCACCAGAACAACTACAGCTTATTGGATTTGTTCTGGTGAGTAGAATCATTACCATCAGGCTTTTTGCTGTAAATACTTTATTTTCAGAGAAAATGCAGTGTTTACATTACAGCCTAGTGATAACTTCACTGGCCACTTCTCAGATGGCTGTTAGAGATCCTACAGCTTCAGCTTCAGACTTGAATACAAGTAAGGTTTTGCTATATATGTGGAGGCATGAGGGGCCCAGATGGTGGTTTTAACACTACAGGGTCAGGAATACATGTTTAAGATCTCTAAACACATTTACATGGTGAGGTAGCAGGGAGCAGAAAACGTCCTCCCGAGAAGCACAATCCCTATTCCTGACTCGCCAGTATCTCATGGGTCCACTATGTCATCAAGCTCAAATAGTGAGTTTACTGGGTTCAGTTAGTGACGCTCTGGCATAATCACCATTGGATCACATTGCCACTGACCACTCTGAGTCTGAGCTCTAACTATGGATTTTTTGACACACCTTTTCTTTTTGTACAAAGTTCTTGTTGTGGTGCTCTTCTAGATGTTCACCACTGTGTGGGAACATTTCTTCCTGGGTTTATCACTGCATAGGCGAAGGCAAATATGAGGTTAGTATGCCAACTGTATCGTAATCACCCATGCCCACATCATTCATGTGAAATATCTTATTATATAGCTATTATTGGATTTCACCCAGTTCTGAAGGACCTTTAAAGGGAAAGAGTTTAATTTACCCTTTAATTACAGGAAAACCTTACAATGCATTGTAATGAAAAGATAAAGGCAGAATGAAAATAGGAGAATAAGATGAATGAAGGGTGCAGTAAACATAGTTTAAAGAAAGACAAGAACTACAAGGATTTGGCAGTGAGGATTCCCATAGCTTCTAGTGCTGGATGAATCCATTAACCTGCAGAGTTCTGTAAGGAATTCTAGGGCAGAAGGGCTGTTCGTGTAAACGGCTGACACAAGTCTGCGCTGCAATTGTCCTTCGGAAAGGCACAAATAATTGCACTTGATTGTGATTGGTTCTTTTGCTCATTTCTTACCGTCCATTCATAGGGAGGCAGAGATCCCCCGTTTGTTTATTCCTTTAGCAGTATGTAGTCCTGTATTGATTTAGGGACAGGTAGGTCTGGCACAACAAGGCACAGCCGACATCCCCCGAGACTGGCTCTCACTGCCCGCCTAGCCAAGGATTTCAATGTGCCAGGCTCGGAGCACAGCTTGGAAAGTCGTTCACACAAGTGGATGTCACGGGCAGCCTCTGGGGGCACCCCACCGCCCCTCCGGAGACGTAGGTGTCCGCAAGCTCTGAGCAGCAGATCCAAGCACACCTCCTCCCTCTCACCGCCGAGTCCTCGGGCCATCAGAATGACAAGTCGTCCAGCAGGGTATTGCCCCTTGAGATTGACGGGGTCTGGCTGTGCCCCATAATCCAGTAGTAACCTCACACTCTCTAAATTACCTTTCATAACTGCCCAACTCAGAGGTGTGTCCTGGTTGTAGTCTCTGGCATTTACCCTTGCACCACCTTCTAGTAGTGCCTGTACACAGCCTGCCATATTTTTAAAAGCTGCCCAGTGTAAGGGTGTGTCCTGGTTCCCATCTGGGGCATTAGGGTTAGCACCATACTCTAGGAGTATCTCCACGCAGGTGTCGTCTTTTTCCGCAGCATAATGCAAGGCTGTCCGCTGGTATCCATCCACTGAGTCAACCTGCAAAAAGTGTGAAGAGAGGATTGTCATCGACTGGTAAGGTAAAAGGTCAACTATGAAAAACACTACAGACAGAGACATCGGGTAGGTGGTGAGAGACCATTCCTCCAAAGGAAAAGTAGCTTCATTTCCTAGGAGAGACAAATCAGTCGGGAAAAATTGAGAAAATAACGGACCAGTACTGATTGACTGGACAATGTGTTATTGTAGGGTTACAAAAAAATCACTACTTCTACATGAGATATGGAAGTCAAAAGAGGTGATTTGTATTGAAAGCGGGGAACTGCTCTCCAGCTGAAGTGGCACGAGTGGGTATAGATGAAGACTGTAATAAAATCTGGGGGGGAAAAAACTCATAATGGTGCTTTTTAAAAAGTTATTAGAACTCCATAGAATGAATATATATATATATATATATAGTATCTATACTACACAGCAGCACAGTCCATTTTATTCTTATTAGATATAAAAATTTGGAAACAAAATGTCTGTAGAGAGCACAAGCCAATTATTGCCTACTGTCAAAGTCTACTTTTTATTTTCTTTAACAGGTATTAAGCTAAATTAAGTTGTATTGGGCAGGGCAGAAGTGAAGAAAAACAAAATGTAAAAACATATTGAGATTAGGTGATTTAAAGAGATAAAATATGGCAAAAAGCAAGAGGAATATGTACAGTACTCACACGAGCTCCATTCTCCAGTAGCAGTTCCACACAGTCAGCGTCGCACACCATGCATGCGCTGTGCAGAGGGAGGAGGGTGTCGTGGGGACAGTTCACATCCGCACCCTGGAATATAAAACGTGTGACGGACGGCAATTCAAAGCTTAAAATAAAGACTTCTGAGAACTCATAGGACTGTACATCCTTCTTACTTTGCGGATCAGAGATTCAACGTTATCACCGGGCAGTGAACGGATGGATGAAATGGTACGGATTAAACGCTCAGAAAGAGAGGTCTTTCTGCTTAAGTACTGCATGCTGCAAGCCCCTGAAACACACAGAGCATAGGCTATTAATCACCACAAACACACACAGGGACAATGACGAAACAGTGCAATTTCAGGAGTTCAAAGGAAATTTTACATTTTTATGCCAAAATAAACACATTTCCATTTTTTTTTTTTAAATCTACATCTATGGATTCAATTCAGCTATTTTGGCCAAAAA